GTGAGGATCCAAAGGACAGAGGGATGTCGTATGCTGTAAAGCCCTGTGAGGCAAATTGTGATTTGTGATATTGGGCTTTATAAATAAAATTGATTGATTGGTGTAGCCTGCTGAAGACATGTGTTAAATGACTTTTACTTCCTTTGTTTTCAGGTTCCTATTGTCTCCCCAACTCCACCCCCCATGTATCAGACCTCACACACGCCAGACCCTCGACCCTCAACAGAAACCATCGACCCCATCCAGGTAAACCACGGTGCTCTGTGAAAGAATCCCTTTGTTAGGAAAAAGGTAGACCTCATATTGCTGCGTATCTTATCAGATTTTACATGATCTAATTCAGACACTTGCTTTGACAGCTTAATATTTTTTAAATTCAAGGGTCAAAATATGTTTAGAATCCCAAAACAAGGTACTGCGTAAGCATACATACAGAGACCAATCCCTAGTCCTTTATTTAGTTTATTAAATGTCGTCAGATTTAGTTGTATAGTGTTTGAAACCTACCCAGATCAGCCTGTAAAGTGCACACTTGTGTAAGCAATAAACTGTAGGTTAATGAATGATTTAAATAGCCTGGGACAATACAAAGGACATGACTATCGTTATCAGCGTGCATCATATCCTCATCTCAACTTTTGCTCCTGCAAAGAAAATGTAAAGAATTTGGAAATCAAATTGTGAAACTTCAATCATACATGACATTGAGAATTGTTTCAACCTGCTGAACTTGTTTCCACTCTTTCCCAGACCTCCATGTCCTTGTCGTCGGAGCAGCCTCCACCCTCTACAGCTCTCCCACCTGCCTCTCAAACACAAGTTTTCCAGCCTGTTTCCAAAGCTCCTCACAGCAGTGGCATCAATGTCAACGCAGCACCATTCCAGTCAATGCAGACAGTAAGGCCTCTGGGATGAAGAAATGCCCATGTTATCAAATAACACCTGTCTTAAAAGCATTTAATGTTTGAGTTCATTCAAAGACCGGAACATCTGGACTGTCACGGAGATAAAAGAGGTCTTTGCAGGACTTTGTGCGTCACTGCCAGTGAAATCAAAATAGAAAATCATTAATGACTTCCATTAGGAATTGCTTGCAGAGTCCTTAAGTGCCCTCTCTCATCATACTGCAGTTGTATGTGTTTGTAGTGAAGTAGCTATATCCAGGAAATAATGAGTAATGGACTTTAGTCCTAATGAGCCTGTGACCTTTCCTCTGGTTTTGGCTTCACCACAATGTGGCCCTTGTTCTCCCCTCAGGTGTTCAACCTCAATGCCCCAGTCCCGCCAGCTAATGAGACAGAGGCTTTGAACCAGGCCAGCCAATACCAGAACAGCTACAACCAAGCCTTCAGCAGCCAGCCGCAGCATCCTGTGGAGCAGACGGAGATGCAGTCAGAACAGATGCAGTCTGGTGGGCAGATTTTAAGTTTTGTTTTTCTCAGTATTGACTTACTGAATTGATTTGTCTTCCTGTGATAACTTCCCAGTTAAACTGCTTTTACATTAATACCGCGTGCTCAACTTAGATTGGAGATTGACGTGCATCTGTTTTGGGGCAACCCACTCTGTGTTTTTTAGTAGTTGGTGCCTTCCATTCCCAAGAACAGTCAGGAGGCCATCAACAGCCTTCCCAGCAGGGCCCAGGCTTCGTCAGGCAGGGTCAGTCCTTCTACAACAGCAGAGGCATGTCTCGTGGTGGACCTCGCAATGCCAGGGGCATGATCAATGGCTACAGAGGCTCATCGAATGGATTCAGAGGTGAGCTCACAACCTACAGCCACAAATGAATCCTTAAAAAGCCCCTTTTCTGACATGGAGTATATGACATTGATGGCTTCATCTAACTGTTAAAGTGATGATGAGGGTGTCAGTTACATTATGATGTAATTTAGACATAATATGCCCTTCACAGAAACAAGTGGCGTCACTGAGGTGGAAAGTATGTGATATCAAGGAATGGTGTTTTCTGTGCTACAGGCTCATTTTGAAGCCTCAATTATTGACCATCTCGAGTGCGACCTTGTGTCTAGACTGCAAGCGTGTCAGAATTGTTTGTCTTGCACGTCTCATGCCACAGATCCGCTCTGATTTTAATCTATGCAGCTGTCTGCATCGTTTAATCGACAATACACACATGAATGCAAGGTTAATACCCAGTAGAAGGGCATTGAATAAATATATTGTATATGTTTACGTTTTTTCAACCTGGGTGGAACAGTGTTGTCTCTGGACAGAGCTGAAGAGCAGGACACTAAAGCCCCATTTCCACCAAACACTTTCAGTATGGTACCTTTGGAGCCAAAAGTAACCCTTCACACATGGTACCTAGACCCTAGCGTTTCCACTGCAAACAGAACCCTTAAATGTGGGCGGGGCTTTTGTCACTCACTGCTCCGTCCAGCACTCACTGTATTTCCTCATTACTGGTGACACAGAGGGAAGTTTGCACCTCGTTTATCGTCCACAGAACGAGGCTGCATGCTGATATTTTCAGATCAAAATAAAACAGGCTGCAGTGAGAGTCTCTCTCCATGGGATATTTAAAAATAGCAGGTTTGTGCATTTAGTCCTTCTGAGGCAAGCTCTGGGGTTTAGTGTTGC